AGTTCTTTGCGGTTGCAAGTACCGAGTTGTATGTAGAGATTTATGTTTGTAAGAATGTTTTCTACCTTGGTGCGTGGCATGCTCGCTTGCATGGTGTCTGAGTCTAGTATGATACCCAGGAATGTGATGAAGGTATCTGGTCATTCAGTCTTGGTGAGGGAGACTGGGACTCCCAACTGTTTGAATAGACTGATGGTTTCTTTGAGGCTACTGGGAGGGGAAATATTCTCCTCGACCAGTAAGAAATCATCCAGATAATGTATAACTGTAGGGCATCTGGCTATATTTAATAATAACCAGCATAGGGTTTCGGCAAATACGTCGAAAATGGCTGGACTACTTTTGGAACCAAAAGTTAAAAGTGAGAAAAAGTAGTAGTTCCCGGCCCACTTGATGCCATGTAGGTGCCACAGTGTAGGGTGGATAGGCAGTAACTTGAAAGCATTTGTTATATCGGTCTTACTGAGCAATGCTCCGACCCCTGCATGCATGATAGCCGTAATGGCGTGGTCTATGGTGGAATATTGCAGTGAAAATTCCTCAGAGGGTTTGAGGGAGTTCAGACTATCGTGTGTGGTGCCTATAGATCGATGATAAGTCTCTGTTTGTGGGAAGATTTCTCCGTGACAATACTGATGGGGTTTGTCCGCCATGTGGTGAAAGGAGGGGACTGGAAGGGCCCTCTGCCACTTCCTTGGCTATGAGTGTGTCAACCACTGTAGGATTTTGCTGTGCGGATTGTAAATTAGGACATTCCAGGATTCCGGAAGGCATGTGTATGAGACCTGTGTGGAATCCTTCTGATAGACACGAGATAATGAATTCTACCAAATGTCTAGATGGATGATGTGACAGTAATGTCGTAAGTACAGAAATGTTTATTGATGTTAAGTATTGTGTACGATACATTTTATTAGGACACATGGTTTTAGCATGTGCCCTGAAACATTTTAAATATATATGCAATAGCCGACATCCACTGTAATTACATGATCTGACATTAAAATTATTACATATCTGGGACTTGC